TACAATTTAAATTTCAATATTGATGGTAGTTGGTTGGTCGACTGGGTTGAAGTCAACTAACTAAGGCGACCGGCCGAGTTGCATATATACCCTCTGAAGTACGCATTGATCGGTTTAGGTGTTCGGTCGTATAGCAATCTTGCTTTATTTTTTGGTACGTTCAATCATAACGGCCGATTGTGAGGTGATCATTTAGATTGGACGCGGAGTTGGTCTGTCGAATGTGATCAACCAACTTTTTCATAGTGAGTCGTGGCTCATTTTTTGCTCGACTTGAGTCTTACAGAGCTTGTGTCTCGACTGTCTGGTTGGTTCATCGCCTCCGTCGGATCTCACAATCTTGCAAGATCTTAAGTGGATCTTGTCGCAACCCACACGGGATATCCGACAAGACTCTTTGTCGAGATGATTCACGCCTCACTTTTGGTGGATCTTGTCGCTACCGAGTGAGGAACCATCTCTAAAGCTTGAACCTATCATGAGTTTGAAGACTCGACCTTGAATTGTCGGTTGATTGCTTACCTCAAAAGGAGGTCATTTCATCTTGGTCATTCATTCTCTTTGAGATTTGTGCTAGTATTTTTGCTATAAACATATTAGTTTCCAACTGTTCCTGCTCATTGATAGATACAACTACAAGAAGGACATGAAAATTATTAAATAATCACTAGCAATAAATTTGTGAATTGATTGATCACATGACTTCCCTTAGGATTATTACCCCTTGTGCGCTATAAATAATTAAGAATCAAATTGTGTATCATTTGTCATCAATTTCTCTTTTTACATTTGAGATTCGTTATGGCTGACAAATCAAACCTGATTGTTGTGGTTCTTGAGAGGCTCACAAGGGGAGGACTTCAGACTCCCTCTTCTTATAAAAAGAAAATGCTGACAAAGGAAAAACAAGCAAGGTCTGAATCTGACCTAGTTAACGTAGTTGACTCATTTGACGATTCAAAAGGTCAGTTGCTAAAGTGGTCTCACTGAGGGGCCTTGGAGTACAGTTCGGGTGTGTGTGTTGAGGTCTAACAGACCCTTCCGACTGAGGCGAGCGGTAAGGAGCTAGGGGGGTTGACTATCTCAGCCTTCCTGCAGTCGCTGCTTCAGGAAAGTGCGGACAGCTTGCTGTTAGAGGGAGAGGATGCCCTTAAGACTGTCTCTTCCATAGAGAGATTTATGGATGACTTGGCCAGCTCGGAAGAAAAATGGGACGACGGGTTTTTAAATAATGTTGCGGAGTCTGCCCCTACCGCGGTGGTCGTTATGCAGGTTAGAGATGCGGGGCTCCCATCACTGTCTACCCCAGTAGTTTATCATTTGCCTAACCCATCATCCGTGATAGATATCCGGCTGTGGGGACTGATTAGGTGGGTGCAATCCCCTGAGATCATAGAGCAGTGGGTAGGCGAGATCGAACCGTTAGCGGGGTCGGTCGGCTATTTTGAAGGACTCGTCAGGGGTTTGACTGCAGATCCTATGCAGGAGTTATCTGCTCGCTTGGATGATAAAGTAGCAATTCTTGCAGACGAAGCTCATTGCTCTCCGAAGCAGGCTAAGAAAGGTGTTGCGTGAGTTGGAGGCACTCCATGAGATGTCTGATCTAGGAAGCTAATCGGGTGGATCAGATTAGGCAAGGTGGAGAGATGGTTCTCTGGAAGTTGAGGGGGCATGTCCCATCCGAGGTTTTGGAGGACCCCTTTATAAAATACTTCGTTCAAGGCCTGTAATAATATTATTCACAATAAAATGATATTTTGATGAATTTTTGAAAAGACGTTTAGTGATACTTATCATTATGTGATGCTTCGTCTGACATGTCCACCTTATAAATAAGGGAAGGGGTCGTTTCTTTTCATTTTACATGCTTTTACTTCTTTATTTTTTCTCCAGCTTTCTCTTCTCCTCTTGTCATTCGGCTGGTTCTGCCCTTGCCTATCGAGATGGCCCCCAAACACTAGCCTATCTTGGTTGGCTCTGTGAAAGACAACGACTCTTCATTTTTTATAGAGAACGAAGTGAGGGAGCAGCAGCGAAGGTATGTGTCTTAACGAGAGCATAGGTCTTTGGAAGTTTCCCAGATTGAAGAAAGCGACAAATCCTCTGGGGAAAGACATGGTCTTCTACTGAGACCAATTCAAGTATGGCCTCTGGTTGCCCTTGTGTCAGAAGCTAGGGAGCATCTTCAACCTATGGGGTTATTCCGACGCAAGTGATGCCAAAGTCCATACCCACCAGGACCTTCATCCTTTTCTATGAGTGGGAGAATCTTGTGTGGTCAACTTTAGATACTTTTTATCGTTCAAGGTCGATGAAGAGGCTACGCTATATTCTCGGCGGGCAAAGAACTCCACTTAGTAGGAGTAGAAAATAAGATAAAGGATTGGAAGAAGTTCCTGGCCGGTTCCTGTTCTGGTGCCTGGGGAATCCCAACAGAGCCATCAGATTGTAAGGTGTCCAAGTCAAGTTCTCTTCCAAAGAGCATGATCGTTGCCTTAGATATGTTGTATGTCCGTCGTCTCTCGATTCCTAGATATACCACTGAGGTAACAGTTACCCATGTGTTGGTGAGTAAAATGATGGAGGAGTAATGACACAACTCGGACATTGTAGAGGAGACCTAAGTGAAGGCGGCGAATGAAAAGTTAGCTGCCAAGAGTCAGAAGAGGAAATGCCTCCCAGAATCACGTAATCTGGTAGGAAACAAGGACCGGCCCTTTAGTAGTGTGGCCTCGAGATACTTTGTTTTTGGGATTGTTGATAGTGTTGTTGTTCAAGACAAAGTGACTAGTAAGGTCACAACTATTGCTCGAAAATGTGCTTCTCATTTTGTTGATGCAGGGGAAGGCGACAAGAGGGAGTTGGCTTCTGAAGGGATTCTGGACAGAACCATAGTTGAGGCTCCTTCATCTTCTGCAGTCGGAACCCCGACCAACGTGTCAACGACTGTCATTGCTCCATCGGATTCTCATGCCAGAGGTCCTTCCTTTGTTTCCCTGTCAGACAAGATTAGGGCAAGCCGGGTTTGTCCTTCAACCACGTTTGATTCTTCGTCGGGGGAGTCTACTTCCACATTCGAAAGGGAGGCCCCGTACTCGGAGCGTTGGTGGGAAAAAGAGCTGGTAGAGGAGGATGATGTTCTAAATTAAACATGGTTCTGACAGCAAAACAGAGTTTCGTTGTCAAAACTGGTTAAGAGTTTACCTTCTCAATAATAGTTTTGATTCTGTCTTCTCAAAAGCAATTGTTCTAAATTAAACATTTTATTAATTTTTTTAATAAGCTATTTATTAATCATTTGTAATACTTAAAAATTGTAATGCCATTTATATTTCATTTTACTTCCCTAATATTTAGTACTTTTCCTTTTTCATGTTTTTCTGAGGCATAGCTGTAGGCAACACAGCAAAGACAATAGGATACTTAGATGAAGAAGATCCATCTTCAACAACAAAACATGGTTTGTATGGAAAGCAAATAACTAAATTATGCCATAGAATTGACTAATACATAATCTGACTACTACAATTATTTTTTTGGCAGAGTATTCTCATGTTTTTTTTCTTCTTGCTTGGCAGATGCTACAAATCTTGAATCCTATAACTATAAAGTTCAAGTATAAACTTGATTTAATCAAAATAAGATCATGGTATTTAATCCAAAATTTTATATAAATTGAAGGCAATTATTGTCACTAGACTTAACCTTCCTATACTCTCCACTATTATAGCTCATTTTACAATTATAGGTGAAGAACAAGTAACTGAACAAGCGGTCGATGGCTTCGATCGCATTCTGCCATTTGCATAGTGGCACAATGCAAATGGCATAATGATTTAAACAACAACACCAGGTTCTATAGACATTATTTTTTGTCTCAGGCTATCATCAACAACAGCTGAAAATTACTTCACAAAATGCTATAAAGGGTTTAAAAAGATATCCTGATATAAAAACAAAAACAAAGCCTTAATCCCACTACGTGGGGTCAGCTACATGAATCCTTTTTCTCCATTGTATCCTATTTAGTGTCATATTTTCATTTAGTTAAATTAAGATCATTTTTTATACAATAAGCCCAAATCTTCCTACGTCTACCTCTTTCTTTCTTAACATAAGTCGAATCTAAAACATCTACACTCCTAATCTGATCCTCAGATGGTCAGCGTTTAATGTGACCAAACTATCTAAGACGACTCTCTAATTTTGTTCGTCACTGCGAGCTACACCAACCCTATCACGGACATATTCATGTTGGCACTTTGTCTCTAAGTGTAAAGCCACTCATCCACCTAATCATTCTCATCTCTCATCTCGGCAACACTTAGGCAACACTTAGTATTATGCTTCTCTTTAAAGGCCAACATTCAGCACCATAGAGCATTGCAGGTCTTACCAGCCTGTTATAAAATTTTTCTTTCAGTCTAAGCTATACTTTTCCATCACACAAAAGGCCTGAAGCATTCATCCATTTCAACCAACCAACTTGAATTCTACTATTAACATCCCCATTTATATCACCATAGCTTTGAATAACATACCCGAGATATCTAAATCATTCACACCTTTAATAATTTGCATTAAATAATTTTTTAACTTCCAGAAAACAATTTTACAACAATCTGTTATTTAGCAGCTTTTACGTCAATCTAGACAATGGCACTCAAATGAAAGATCACCCAAAATTACACTTCTGTAACTAGAGCTACTACTAAAATTACATTTCATGTATTCAGTTTTTGTTCTACTCAAATGAAAGCCTTTAGACTCCAATGTAAACCTCCATAATTCAAGTTTTTCCTGAGTTTTTTCTCTCGTTTTATCCACAAGAAGGATATCATCAGCAAAAATCATACAAAGAAATCCTGATATAAAAAAATAATAATAAATCGAATGAGAAGGCAACATCATAAACATATTTTTTTCTATAAGAAAATTTAAAAATCATATAATTTATAGAACAAATGTCTTCTTATCACAGTAAAAGACGACACTTTCATTTGAAAAATGATTCAATTAAAGAATCCAGACAATTATAAATGGTACATGTAACTTAAAATGCTGATTACATCACAACGAAATTGAGGAGACAGCTTAATGATCTTCAGTGTCAACAGGTTCGGCTCCTACAGAATCTCTCATTGGTCTGTGCTTCTTCCTCTTGAGCTTGGGCAAGCATAGGATCCAATCGGGAACCTCACAGCCTGACTCTTTCATCACATTAGCTATGTTCCTTAGGAATAGTTTATCCTCTTCAGTAAAAAATGTTATAGCCTGCCCACATCTCCGAGCTCTTCCAGACCGACCTATCATCAAGCAAAATAAATAAATAAATTATGTTATTTATATACATACCACCCATTTCTTCTATATTTACACAAATTTTTAACATCACATCAAAAATTGTACTATTACTAACTTTTTTAAAAGTGGGATGTGTAGTTTATAACACAAAAATATTATAAATATAAATATCAAACTTTAAGTGCTACATATATTAATACATAAGAATTGTGTTGTTAATTCACAGTTCATATGGGGTGGTGGCGCAGTTGGCTAGCGCGTAGGTCTCATAGCTTCTGAGTGATCCTGAGGTCGAGAGTTCGAGCCTCTCTCACCCCAATTAATATGGAGAACGGGATGAAAATGCCCCATGGTTGGAAGGGATCCTTAATCACTATCACCATCCTAAGGTGATAAGGGCAATACTTTTTTGATAAGGGGAGACCTTTCTTCTCTTCCTTATATTAGATGTAACACTTCTTCTTTAAATTAATGAAGTCTTTCTTTTTCAATATATAGCAGAATTTGATTAAATAATGCAGAAAAACTTCAAGAATGATGATAACAGGAATTGAATAATGCAGAAAAACAGAGACGTAAGATAAACCACAAAAAGATTATTTGGAAAACTTTCAAATCAATCTATCTATTAGAAAACAATGGCAACTCTGATACAGCTCTAAAGGCTTTTCTTGCCTACACAGACAGTCCCATGATAAAGAACTCTTTCTCCGCACTTTTTTCATGCCTATATCAATTAGGGCTCAATACATATTCATAACCCTCTTCTAAGAAATCTTGTGCAGCAACTTCTAAACAGGACAAAGAAAAATAACAGACAAAAAAAAAAGCAAAAAAAAAACAAAACAGTAGTTTTCAGCGAAAGATCTTAAATCCAACCATTTGCTTACATAATAAACAAACAGACCTAATTGTTCTCTCGAAGTGGACTAATTCAACTAATCTGTGTATAAATAACCTTTTTCTAAAATGGTATTCCTTCTGTTTAAAAGCTATCCCAGAACTAAGGAGGCTACAAAGAAGTTCTCCGCTTTGCTTCCCATACACAGCATTGGCTCAGAAAGCTATATCAAATGAAAGAGATAACAAGCTAAAACCTGAATTTCCAACATAATTCAAAAATAATTTGACAAATAAATCAAAAGATTCAACCAAAGCTTATATTAAAATAAAAGCTCATGATTCAGAGTAAACATAGACAGATTAATAATCTACCATAAAATGAAGGCAGTAGAGCCATAATGCTTGGATCTTATTTGCCAGGAACACGTGAATCAAATCTGTGCATGTAGAAAAGCGTATAAGAAAGGCCATCCAAAAGAACCACTTGGGTCATATGACTCATCATGACCCTCTAAAAATAGAATTTGACAAACACAAATAAAAGATTTAAACCAAATGCAAAGTGAAAATAACAAGTTTATAAGTTAGATATGTAAATACATAAGAACTTTGTGGTACGCATGCACACCCTCCTTCAAAATATCAGAGCTAAGAGTAAGCATAAAGAGACAAACAATCTGCCATCATACGAAGGCAGAAGAAACGTATAGCATAAAGAGAAATTATCATGCCTGTCCGCCATCTGAAGTACTGATCTTGCAGGTAATCAGCGCAAGCGCTGATGAACTTATCCATGATTGGGCCAACAACCCAGTGGGCCAAAAACAAAGTCTGCCATGGCACCAATAGTGGTAGAAGCAGGAGAGACCGTGGAAGAGAGGAAGAGAAGAAGAGGGTAAAGATGACGGAAGTAGGTGGCTTTGCTATGAAAGATGCATAAAGTATGTTTTTAAGTTAAAGATGTGATTTCCACCGTGGTTTCCTGTTGACTCGCATTGACGTAGAGCCATTGATGTAGTAGTGGCTTGCTATAATGGATGTATGGTGGAGGATGGAAGGGATGGCATTTAAATATCTGGCTAAGTTAAAATGTGCTTTCTACTGTGTAATAAATTAAAGAGCGGGATTTTAGATTGAACTGTCGCGATAATAGCCAGTAACTTTTAACAAATTAATACCATTCCACTCAATGCTATTTTATGTCCAATTTATGGATATTAGCATATAAAAAAGGCAAATCTTGCAAATTTGGGTAGTCAACGAGTAGTAGATTAGTTAAGCAAGGAGACAAATCAACATCTTTTGATTCTGTAGCAACATCAAACAAAACCTTTGGTACTTATAAATTCAAAATTTGTAGCACCTTATCATTCCCCTGAAATTTATTATCAAGCCACCTTTCTTTTGACATCATATGAAAGCGTAGAAGCTTGAGAAAGGGAAGCTGCCCAAAAGATGGAAGAGTTTCCCACTCCAAACACTCTTCTAATTTGATGTACACTAAATTGGAGATCAAATGGGTATTACCATCTATATTTTGCAGATTTTGTATTCATATTCATAGGAATGTACATGCTCTATCAAGTTGTTATATGGTTAATTCTAATCTTCCACTCCCTACTTTCATAACCCTTTTCATTTTTGACATAAAGCACACCTTATTCATTAAAAGACATTAACTTCCCAATACCAGGCATACAAGAAAAAGCATTATGGGGCAATATTAGACAATGTAAATTTGAAACATTATTAGTTTATCATGGAGAAAATATATCAGTAACGCATTTATCCATATATGTTTCTTATAGATTATAAATTGCAGGTGATAAAGGTAGCTGACAGATTTCAGTAGCAGAAGGGTTTGAGAAAAATCCTAATATCGGAGATGTATCAAATTTTCAATCTCCTTGCATATCACGTCCAAATGCGGAAAGCATACGAATGTTAATGATTTCAACAAGTTGTCGGCCGTTATTTTTGGAAAAAATGATTTTTGTAAAATATGAAAATAGTTTTGATGTAAATATGCGATTTTTGAAAGTAACATTTTAATTTAAAAATAGATGAAGTCAAACAAATCTCACATATTGAATAGTTTGGATGGTTGAGCGTGATACCACAAGTAATATACTATCTCAAGGGATAAGCATACCACTTGTCAGTAGACTCAACCACCTAAACTAAGGAGTTTGTGACATCCGTTTGGTCTGCAAAATATTTTATGTATGGTCAACAAGTTCCCCTATCTAATATGAGGATTAGAAAAGGTTTATTTTACCTGGGTTCCAAGTTCCCTATACAGGCAAACCTCTATAGTTAATTACATCTTAAATGACCGGGGTCACTTAAGAAGACTCGCGATTAAGATCAGTGGTTTTGTCTTCCAGATTTCAAAGTTTGTGTTTTTAAGATTGGACACAGGAAAGTCAAATGGGAGTGGTTCAAATAGGAACAGTTATTTTAATGAGTCCAAATGAATGAAAATTAGGGGATATCACGAATCCGAGGAGAACTTCGGTGACCTCCCAACTATCCTATTGTTTAGATTTATGTCTTTGAGATGATATTATTCAATGTTTAATCCTGCAATATATTTTAGAATTTAATACTTACACTCACACGATATTTGATTGTGCAAATAGCCTAAAAAGATAGGAGAATTTACACCGTACCGTACGATAACCTTGGAATCCTAAAAGTGTTAGGACTTATAATTGCACAATAAGGTTGTGCAAAAGTTCTAAAAATAAGGTGAGGATTTACGTTGCGCTAAGCAAACTACCTCGAAGTCCTATGGCTTGTTATTTAAACTAAGAAAAATGCTTAGTTAACGTGAACTTGTTTCGATGTTACAGATCTATCTCGAAGTTCCTAAAAATAAGCAAATCGTGTGTGCTTAGTTAACGAAGAAAATAGAACGAAAACATGATCAAATCTGGATCATTACCACCATAAAAGAGATCATTACCACCATAAAAGAGATCATTACCACCATAAAAGATTTAAATGAGAATTTGGAGTTGCTTGCATTCATTTATTTATTTCCTTTTCTTTAGCTCATTTTTTACAAAAAGCACACACGATTTTTCAAAAGACGATCATATCCCAATCTCAGGCATGCTAAAAAAAAATTTTGAGGCAATATCAGACACAGATTTGAAAGATTACTCATGTCTTCTGGCAAAAGATAAGCAGAAACATATTGTTCCGCAACATATCTCATATATTATGAATTGAAAGTGATAAAAGTAGCTCAGATATCTTGGTAGCACATCAGTTTGAGAAAAAAATTCAATCATGGAAAACAAAAAATTAATGCTTCTTGATGTCTTAAAGATTTTATTAAATATATTAATACTCTATCATTTTCTGAAAAAATAAAAAAATCAAGAGAATCCAAATGTCTAACTTTTATAATGCTTCTAAAAGTTTCAAATTTGTAATTTTAATAGATAAATGTCATATAGTTCCAGGAACTGTAAATATGACAGCTCTTTCTCCGCAAATAAGAAACATTTCCCTAGAGAAACAAACTTTGTCAAATTATATAGTAACTAGTGTATCTTATGATATGTTTCAGCATCAGCCTGAAACTCATAAAAGAAAGATTTTCTAAATAAAATATCCAAATAAGTTCTTCAATTATCATCCATAGTCTCTCCTATATTAGAAAGTGGCAAAAAAAAAAAAAAACCCAGTGCAAAACTAAATCAACTTTATCAAAAAAATTTTGTGAGAATATGCCATAAATTGCCAATCAATTTTTAAGACATTCTGAGAAGAATGTACACTCAATCTTAAGATGGGCAATAAATTATTCTAACCAAGTTTTTGCTCTACGCTTAGAATATCATCTTCTAAAATCTTAACTCAATAGCTTGCATCAAAGTCATACCATGACCGTAACAACTTTTGAGAAAATTAGTTGACTGCCTTTTCCTTTGCTTTCTTTCAAATAAATAATAATTTATACAATCTATTTTAGGTAACTTAATAATACATATTCTTAATCTAAATATGTAGCTATAAGAAAGAATATGTACAATTAAAATAAGAAATTTAATTCAATAATTTAAATAAGGAAACTCTTAATTATGTCTGATTTCAGCCATTCTTGAATGATATCACCCTTTTAAATTGATGTTGACAGATCAAAAAGCATCAATTTTCCAACAAAGAGCTGATGACACTGCCGAGAAAGAGCTTTAGTAAATATATTAGTCGTTTGAATATCAGAAGAGATGTGAGGAAGAGAAATAACATCATTATCATAAGCTTCTTGAATAGAATGATAGTCCACTTCAATGTGTTTCGTGTGATCACGAAAGACAAGATTAGCAGTAATCTGGATAACACTAGTATTATCTGCATAAACAGAAGTAGACTCAAGTTGAGGAAAACCAAGCTCAGCAAGCAAACCCAGAAGTCAAATGATCTCAGAATAAACAGAGGACATAGCACGATATTCAGAGTCAGTGGAAGACTTGGACACTCAATGTTGTTTCTTACTCTTCCAAGAAATTAAAGAGTTGTCAAGAAACATACACTAACCAGTAATAGATTCCGTGTATGAGAACAACCAGCCCAATCAACATCACTATAGGTTGTTAAGTGAATAGGAGATTTCGCAGAAAAGAATAAATGTATTTATATATTCAAATTTCCGAAGAGGAAATCACAATATTTTAACTTTAATGTTGTATAAGACTCCTCTGTCTATTCCAAAATCACAAATCATATTTTAAATACAATTGAAACTAGAAATTAAAGGCAAAACAATCATTTTGATAATTTAATTGCAAACACAACGACTCTTCATCAGCTCTAAATGACAATTTATTACTTTTATTGAATACAAGGAAGAAGGGAGGTCTGGCAATGATTTGAGGAGTGGAATCCTACATAAATATAGATCCTTGATGGATGAGATGGCCGAAAAAGAAGATGGCAGACACTGTAGGTTATCAAGCCTAATTATATACAGACAAACCAAAGAGGGAGGGAGTTCTGGCAATGATTTGAGGAGTGGAATTCTATTTAAATTTAGAAGCTTAAGGGATGAGATGGCCGACAAAGAAGATGGCAGGCACTGTAGGTTATCAAGACTATTTATATACAGACAATCCAAAGAGGGAGGGACAAATACAGACAATCCAAAGAGGGAGGGAGTTCTGGCAATGATTTGAGGAGTGGAATGCTATCTAAATCAAGATGCTTGAGGGATGAGATGGCTGACATAGAAGATGGCAGGTCCTGTAGGTTATCAAGACTACTTAGATCCAGACAATACAAAGAGAAAGGGAGGTCTGGCAATGATTTCAGGAGTGGAATGCTTTTTAACCATAGACGTTTGAGAAATGAGATGGCCGACAAAGACGTTGGCAGGCACTGCAATGATTCCAGGCATTCAAGATGTAATTCTTCCAGGGAGGCAGGGATGTGTAGAAGCTGCTGGAGCTGAGGAACATTTTCAACACGTAGAATCTTAAGTGAAGAGAGGCATTCCAAGGAAGAAGGGAGAGACTGCAGGGATTTGAGGCCTTTAAAGCTCAACTCACGAAGGGAAGAGCTAACATGCGGAAACCACTGCTCTACCTCAATTGTAAAAGAAAGCAGCACATCATTATTACAAATTGTGAGCTTTTCCAAGGAGGCGATAATTACCTTTGGCAACAAAGATGGGTCATCTATAACAACTTCACTGAGAAAAAGCTGGAATTTCTCAATGCCACTCTCCACTTGTTGCAGTCCACCCAGAGAAATCAGATTGGGGCAACCTTCAATTCTCAATTGTCTTAGTGCTTCAAGTCTTACATCCGCCTGAAGAAGAGATGTGATGTTTGGACACGAAAGGACCTCTAAACTTTCAAGGGGAATGGATTTTGAAATGCTGCAACAGTTGTTGGAGCCTTGCATGCAGTTCAAAGCAGCTTTCCATCCAACTTTTTCTACATGCATGTTCTTGAACTTAGGAGGCAAATAGCGCAACTCCTGCAGATTTGGGCAGTTAACGAGGAAGAGTTCCTTTAAGCAAGGAAAGAAACAGTCATCTGATGTTGCTCCTGCTTTATCAAACAAATCCTCCAATACTTGTAATCCCTCCATATGTAGAACCTCCAGCGCTGGAAACACACAAATATTGTTATTCCCACTGAATTTATTATCAAGCTGCTTTACCTTTGGCATATTACAAAGGTACAGAGACTTGAGGTGGGGAAGCTGCCCAAAAGGAGGAAGGGTTTCCCACTCCGAGCACCAGTTTAGATTGACATGCTCTAGATTGGAGATCAAATCTGCATCGTACATCCATTTTGCAGAGCTTACACCCTTGTATGAAAATAAGGACAAACTCTTTAGATTTTTGTATGGTCTAAGATTTTCAAGCACATTCACATCCAAGTCAGAATTGACAATGTTCCGTAGGTTTCCAACTCCCCTGTCTGAGTTCCGTTCATCATCGCCCCAATTCAAGAATAAATCTGTCAGTTTTCTCTTTTCAAATAATTTTGCATTGCGAGCCTCTCCAGCGTCCTTCACATTTTCCAGAAAATGTATTTTTAATTCGCGCAACTCGCTCATATGTTCCAACTCCCCAATTCTATAACCACTCATTCTTAACATTAAACTCATTTAGTTCTTGAAGTGACTTTAATTTCCCAATTCCAAATACACTACAAAATCCATACAGGGGCAACTCCAAGTGACGCAGATTAGAAAGATTACTCACATCGCCAGGCAAGAAATCATCAGAGGCAAAGGCAAAATTCATACAAATTACGAACTTCAAATGATATAAACTGCTTAGAGATCTTGGCATCCGACAGAGGTTTGCATTAAGATTCAAATATCGAAGATGTCTCAGATTTTTAATTGCCTCAGGCATCTTATTCTGCCATAAAGAGTCTATGAACAACAAACGAATCCTTCTCGATGCTTCAAAAATTTTAGTAAGTATTTCAGTAAAACCTTGATCATTAGTTTTAGTGATAAGAAAAAGTGAATGTAGATTTTTGACATCTTTGATCATTGTCAAAACTTCTAGATTTTCAGTGTTAACAAATAAGTGTCGAACATTTTTAGAAAGTTTAAAAGATAAAATATTATCTCCCACAAATCCGAAACATTCCTCTGAAGAAATACAGTGAGCCAAATCATGTAATAAATCATGCATCTTATGGTATATTCTCTGGTAATCCTGAAACTTGTCAAAGAAAGATTTTATGACCAAAATATCAAAATAGCTTCCTCCAATATCTTCCAAAGTCTCTCCTTCAATAGAAGATTCCTGAATGAAACCCAATGCAATCCACATTCGGACTAAATCATCTCTATCAAACTGATGATCTTGTGGGAATATGCCACAAAATGCAAAACAATTTTTTAGAGGTTGTGGGAGGAACGTAAAACTCAATCTTAATATAGGCAAAATGTTATTGTGACCCAGTTCTATTTCGACATTTCGAACATCAGTACTATTTAAAATGTTCATCCAAAAGCTCTCATTCAAGTTAGAATTGAGAACACCACCGATGATCTTAACTGCTCTTCGCTGCCAACGGAGATCCTGAAAGCTTTTTAACTATCAAATTAGCAATATGCGTTAGTTTCTTATGAGGACCAAGGTTCACCAAGGTTCTCTACACCAGCAAATGCATGGGTGTTGAGTAGCTTCAAACACGCATCTTCCTCCAAGCCTTTTATTCTCAATGGTTCCATGTTCTTTTTAATAACTTTTGCAATCACCGATGAAACTGCATCCATTCGAGTAGTAATCAAAATCTTACTTCCGAAACTTCCATTAGTCAAAGGGCAGAGGAAATTCTCCCACTTGCTCATATCTTCCTCCCAAATGTCATCCAGAACAAGCAAGAACTTTTTGGATTGCACGGCAGCTTTATGACTCTCTTGAACAGAAGCGAGTGACTCCGAACGAGGCCTCTCCTTATTAAGAAATCCCAACATGTCGGCAATGATCTTTTTTGCATCAAAGTGGTTGGAAACACAAACCCACATTTTCAGTTCAAATTCTTCCTTAAGATCCTCATAGATGTGTTGTAAGTGAGTTGTCTTGCCCATGCCTATGGATAGAAGAGAAATGTTTTTGTACAAAGTAGGGCTAGCAATATGAGTTGGATCTTCATTTGTTGGCTTCCTCAACCACTGCATAACAAAATCCTTCTCCTCGCCTCGACCGATGAAATCATTTTGAGGCAAGCATCCTGTTTTACGATCTTCGCACAACTGAAGCTCCAGCTCCTGCTGCTCCTGCTTTGCCTTTTCGATGAGAGGAAAGAAAGTGCTGACCTCAGCTGAAACTTTATCAAGTTTCTTCACAATTGTCTCCAGTCTCTCCAAGTTGGGATCCTTTTTGAGAGCTCGTTGTCAGACTCTGCGAAGTTTGCGAGCAGGTTCCGAAAATAATCTAGTGAATGAGGAAGGCAGCTTTGTTTCCTCCATGTTCAGCACCTGTCGTTGTTCTTCAAGCTTCATGTACTCAAAGTCATCAAGAACATCATCTGCCTCATCGATGGCATCTCGTAGCTGCCATATCCATCTGTTGAGAACCGGATCTCTGATCTGTGCTCGGGTGTTAGCAGAGACCACAGCTTGGATCTTAGGGTGGAGAAATAAACCATAGATTAGCAGAAGCGTACCAGAATCCATTAGATAGATTGCACAAGATATGATCTTCCAATCTGCAGATTTTCCAGAGTTTCCTTAGTTTCTTGTTGATGGGGTGCAAGAAAAGGGATGTGTCTCTCTGCAAATTGGGGACCATCACCCTTTAAAGTAACTACCAGGCGGTTACAAAAAAGTTTTGCTTAATTCTAATTCTGCCACTCATCAAATTAGAATTTGCACTTGTGGTATCCACACTATAATATCATGACAAATGTGCCCAAAGTCATAAACTTAATTCTAAATTAGACCACAATAATTTTGACTTATTTAATGATGACCCAACACATTTATTAATTACATTGTAGTCCCAAAATTAATCCAACAATCTCCCCCTGGACTACATATGTATAAGATAAATGTGTCAACCTTAGTGCGCCCAAAATTTTGTCATCATCATTATGAAGACA